CCTCTTAGGAATCCATCAGAGCATTTCTCCGTTTAATCAGATCTTATTAAAATCTAACATATTTTAATTTGATAAAAAATTTTTTTATAAAGTATTTTACATTCATTATTTTTTAAATGATTTTTCTGAATCTTTACTTAAATATAGGTAACTTTAAGCCGTTATTTCAAAAATCTACTTCAAAATTTTTTAATATTATTCTTAACTTTATTTAAAACTTATTGACACTACTTAAAATATATATTATCATAAAAAAATTTTCTAATTAGAGAATTAAATTAAATATAAATATGGAAAAGATTTTTATTGAATATAATTAATCTCTATGTGATATTATATTGCAGAACTTAATTATTATAATATCTTTGATTTTTTATAATCAATTAGAATACATTATAATTGAGAAAACCTACTTGAGGAATTGTTTTAATTAAAATAAAATTTTCTAATTTATTAAACTTAATGATAAGTTATAATAGATTAAGGAATATGTAACTCAATTATTTTTAAGTAAAAAATGATTGATTTATATAAAATTCAAATACAATCAGTCTGTTTATTTAAAAAAAAATAATAATATGAAGTTCATTTTGGATCAACTAAATGAAAAGTATTTTAGTTAATTTCTATATAAGAATTACTTAATGAAATTCTTTATTTCTTTATGAGAGATTTCATATTATTTAATTTGCGATGTTTATTAGCGATTTATTTATTTAGATTTTGATAGAAATAGTAATTTTTTTATTATGATAACTTGCATTAATCATCCAAATGTCTAGATTAAAAATATTTGTATTACCCGCCACAAATGCTAAAGAAGTTTATGCGATTAATGCTTAAATAATCGAGCTTGTGGAAATAAATTTTTAATTGGGAGCTTTATTTAGAGAATAAATAATAAATATGAGCATTTAAAAATGAATCTAAAACCTGAACAAAATGGAAAGATTGAATTTAAAAAATTCATAGAAGAAATAAAATAGAATTTTATAAGTTAATGTGAAACCTTTGATAAAGAAATAGAGAAATAATTTGAGATTTTAGCTTAATAAGATTAATATTATATTGATCTTTTGAACTCTAATATCCTTATACCAAATTAGTTTAATTAAAATATTAACTCTTTAGTTGATATTTTAAGAAAAAAAATAGAAAATTGGATTCAGTATAGAGATAAATGTTATAAAGATATAAGTGAAATATAAGATACCTTACAAAATAAAGTTAATGATTTTAACCAAAACTTATTATAGCAATTAAATATTTTATATTCCCTTAAGTAAAAATCTAATTATTAAAATATTAGTACTCTGGAAGTTATAGGAATAAAAAAATAGTTCTCTAGTTTGAAAGAAACTAAATTGTAAGTTATATATACAAAAAATAATGAAATGATATATTTGCAAGATGGAGAAATACTTAGATGGTATTTGAAAAGATTTATAATTGAAGTGATGAAATATAAGACTACAATGACTAACCTTAGATAATGAAAAATTTAGAATAGATCAGGCATCTAATTTGGCATGGTTCATATAATTTGAGTGCATAAAAGGAAGGCAAATGGTATCCAACATGGAAGGGAGAAAAAATTGATGCTGGAGGGACTTATTAATTAAATGGAATAAAGAATGGTTAATGGATAGAATTAAGCTAAAATTTTTGGGAGTATTTTGATATTTAATATTTTAGCAAAGCTTAAGTATTTGAAAAGGGAAAGTATTCTAATAATAAGAGATGTGATAAGTGGGAGTTTTTCCACAATAATTAATTAGTGTATTATTATTTCATAATTATTAAGGAGTGAGGGTCTTTATTCATAAAATGGCTTAAAAAATGGAAGATGGTCTGATTTACATGATAATTATCATGAGTATTTAATTTTATCCATTTAATAGAGGGAATAAAGTCATTCTTAATGGAGAGTATTTGGAAGGGTAAAAGGTTAAAAAGTGGAATATAGTATTAAAGGGAACATAAATGTAATAAGAATTCATTATTTTTCAGAGGTGGAGGATATTATAATGAAATAGGAGAAAAGGATGGAAATTGGATAGAATTGCATAATAATTTTAATGAGTATAGTGTATTAATATTGCAGAAATAATCAAATAATTGAGTAAGGATAATATAAAAATGGATAGAGAATAGGATAATGGGATTTTAAATAAGATGGGAAAATAATGTAAAATATTGATATTAATATTAAAGTGGTGGTGGATAATACTCTCTCATAGGAAATAAGGATGGAATATGGACAGAATTACATAACTATTATTCTAAGTATTGAATTAGTAATTATAATTAGAGACAATTTAATCTGTTATTAAGGTTAATATTAAAATGGAAAAAAGTGTAATAAATGGAAAATTCTATATAAAAGTGAAGAAGAAAGTTATTAAGAAATTATGTAAGATTTACTTATTAATTTTTAGTGGTGGAGGTAATTATAGTGAAAATGAAATCAAAATAGGTGGATGGATAGAATTGCATGAGTATTTTTCAAAGTAAATGAGATAAATATCCTTTAGTTTTGGATAAGTTGTTTATGAGGGAATATATAGTAATGGGAAGAAAAATTAAATATGGGATATTAAATTTCGAAATATTTCATCAGAGTTTGTAGTAATGTAAAAATTTACAAAAAAAATAGTGGTGGAGGATAATATGATTCAAAAGGAATTAAATAAGGAGAATGGAAAGAATTACATCCTAATTTCTCTTTGTATTTGATTTTTTAATTATAAATAGTTAGACATAGATTTTTTATAAGGGTATTTATATAAATGGAAAAAAATCTGGGGAATGGGAAATTAAATTAAAGTAAGATGAAAAGAATTTGATGGCATTGTAATAAATATTATTTATTACGTTAGAGGAGGAGGATTATATGATGAAAATTAGTTGAAAAATGGCTAGTGGATTGATTTGTATGAAAACTTCAAAAAGTATTAAATTATTTATTAAGTTTAGTCATTGTCAAGTAAGATATAAGGGAGAGTATTATAAAGGTAAGAAATAAGGTACATGGTAAATTAAATTTAGAGAATCGACATTATCAAAGATTGAAATAGAAATGTAAATTTATTATTTCTAATATAGTGGAAATGGAGATTATGATGAAAATGGAATTAAAACTGGTGAATGGGTGGAATTAGATGATTAATTTGAAGAGTATAATAGTTATTTATTTTTAAGTATGGAGTAGATCAGATATTAAGGAAAATATGTTGAAGGTATAAAGACTGGAATTTGGAAAAGATAGAAAAGAATAAATGGCAAGGGAAACTTTGTTTCAGATGATGATAATGAGAACAAGTAATTTAAGTGATATAAATTAATGAAAATTTAAGTTTAAATAAATATATTCTTTATCTCAATTTTAATTATTCTAATTTAATATTTATGAGTATCAAATGAATTTGGTATATATCAATTAAATTTGTTAAAGACAATGAATAAATCATTATTTCTTTAATTTATTTAATCTTTGTTAACTTTATTAATTATAGTATTCTATATAAATCCGCATCTCTTCTAATTAATAGATATAATAAATAATTAAATTAATATTCATAATAATATTAATATTAAAAAATACAATACTTTTTATGTATACTTCAAATTTAGTTTTACTTATTCTTTGTTTTAGTAGTATTAGAATAGTTAATTCACAAAAATGCTAAAGACATTAAATTTAATTGGGTGAAATGGTTTTGTCATAATAATCATAAAATATTTTTATAGAAAGTGATTTTGATGATTAATTACAATTAAAACATATTGAGTAGTAAATAGCAAAATAGATAATAGCAATTCCTCAAATCTAGAATGGAGTAATTATTTCTTCACTTATCTGTGAAATTTTTCATTTACCATTATTAGGAAAATATTTTTGTTTTCTTTAGAGATTAAATGGATATAGTATCTTTTGTGTGGATATAAATTAAGAAATTCTTTTAATTGATAAAGATTCATTTTAATAGAAACAATTAACTTATATTGAATTTAAAGTAGAAACTGACTTTGAAGAAAATTGTGAAGAATTGTTTTATGATAACTCATAATTTTTAGTATTTTGCTTAATTAGTAATCAAATAAGAGCTAAGTCAATAAATTTATAAAACATTACTTAAATAATAAATGTTAATCAATTAAATTAAATATAATAAAAGAATTGCAAAAGAAAATATATTAAAATTTCAGATGATAATTATTTTTTAACACATTTTTAATGTTATTCTTGGGACATTTTAAAATTCTAAAATAATAAAATTACTTTATTTTTAAATAGTGAAATTGCACAACATAATTTTAATGTAAATATTTCTTATATTTCAAATTTTCAAATTTGCTCCTATTATTTATTATCAAATGAGCTATTCTAATTGACATATCTACTAACAGATATAGGATATCATCATCTAACTATTAAATCAAATAATTTGCTTATCTATAATTATTTTATTAAAAAAGAAAATTTAGAAAAGATCTTATTTAATTCAAGATGTTTACCCATATCCTTTACATATTCATCTGATAGTAAAGTAATATTTGAATTTTAAAATATAAAAAAAGAATTCGATAGTAATTATTTTGACAGTTATTATTTTAATAATATTCTGTTTTTATAAACATTGAAAGGACTTGAATTAAGTTATAATGATATACTTTATTAATACCTACCAATTAATTTTATAAAATTACATATTTTTCCATCCTTTAACTTATTTTATTAAATAGATAACAACACTAATTAAATTTTGCTATTCCAATTTTTATTACATTAAAATTTCATTTAGCCAACTAAAAAATATCTATATGAAATTGCTGATTATCGACTTAATTATTTTATATCTTAATGTTATTATATTGAAAATATTTAATCAAATATTAATGGAATATATAGTTTAATATTTGATAATATCTGTTAAAATGTGGAAAATTTATAATTGTAAAAATAAGCAACACAATTACCAAAACAATATTATATTTAAATATAAGATGATCCAAAAACATAAATTTTAAATATTACTGATTAATATCAAATTCATGAAAAATGTGCTATGATAAATGAAAACAATCTAGAATCATTGAAATTAAATATTATCTACCATTCTTAAGAATTTAATGTTATCCTAATGAAAGGGGAAAACATATTGATCTTTAAGCATTGTGATAGTGGTCATTTATTTAAATTTACTATTTTTGAATAATAAGTATTTTTCTATAAAACTAAAGTAATTTTAATAAGAAAAAATAGTAAAGATATTAGACTTATCCAATATTAATTTGATGAAATAAAATAACTAAATAAACAATTAAAATAAGATATTTAAAATATTCTTTAGTTTGAATAATACATTCTAATAATGACTTAAAATAAAGAAAATTATATGTTAATTGATATTTAAGCTTAATTAATCATATCATAATCTTAATAAATGTTTGATTACCTAAATTAAATAAAATAAACTAAAATAGAAGAAAATTAGGAAAAATAAATCTTCTTTTATTATTTAGGAGATATAATTTGTCTATAATATAATGAACAATTTATTTCATTTTTTAAACAAAAATATTAATATTTTGTAATGAAGAATCTTCAAATAATAAAAATATAAAAAGTAATAATTAATTTGCATTAAATTTTGGCAGTACATCAAATATAAGATATCTTATATCTTTTTTATTTAAGTTAAGAAGAATTAATAAAAATTTATGAATTTTCATTTGATCAAGCAAAAATTGTAAGGCCATTAATCTACACAATAAATTAAAATTTTTTAATAATTGCAGGTTAACAAGAATAAGAATATTAATTACTTATTTTCACAATCTTTAAGAATAAAAATCTATAATTAATAAAAACTATATAAATCAGTAAACTATAATTCTTTTTAGAAAATCATTATTTATATTATTTTGACTTAAACTTTAATATTATGGTTTATAACATTAAATATTTTGAATTTACTTTATAAAATATTGATCCAATATAAATTAATGCAATTTCTTCATAAAATTTATCATTTGATATTATTTCCTTAAATTCAATTGAGACTAATAAAACTATTTAGATTTAATTAAAACAAATAAATTTATGTAGTAAATTATTTGCTATAGATAATCAAAAAACATTATTGTTTAAGAATAATAAATCTCTGAAAATTCAATTAGACACAATATTTTTGGGATGTATAGACTAATTGAGCTTGCAAAATTAAAATCAAATCTATTTAAAAGGACCAATTTTATTGAAAGCAAAAGTTAACAAAAATCAAATATTTTCAAATTTTACAATTAAAACACTCTATTTTTATGATTCTAATATTAATTAGCAAAATAAATCAAATATTATATATATCATAAATATTGATACTAAAGATTAAATTATTGTTTACAATTAAGAAATGAAAAACTTCTTGAATAAAGAATATGGTAGGTTATTAGATATAAATTATATAGATAACTAATTTTTAATAATCATGTTTATTTCTCATTAAAAGGATCTATCATATATAAGGTTTCTCTTAAAAGGCAATTAATTTACTCTTATAGATCAATAATAACTTCAGAGTAATATTGATGTAATAAATGAATTTGAATTTTATCATACTAGAAATCTGATTATTTTTAAATAATAATTAAATTATGAACTATGGGTTGTTGAGAATTAAAGAATAGATAAAATCAAAACTACTTTTTAAAAATCAAGAGTTCTTTTTATATAAAATACTGATAAACTATATATTTCTGTATAATTTACATAAATGAATAAGGAGTGGGAAATATAAATTTTTGAATTAGAATAATTAAATATATAATTAAATATCATAAGATTAATTAAAAGAGATATAATTATTTCAGAATTAAATAAATATGTAGTTTTACAAGAATCTAATTATATATCAGATCAGTAAATTCATTTACTAGAAGCATAAAAACTTGACAATAATGTAAAATTAATTATGATTCTTAATTTTAACAAATTTTCAATATTAGGTAGATTCAATATTAGTTTAATCAATTTAGATTATAGTTTTAATGTTGTAAAAATAATTAGAACCAAAATATAAGAAGGAATATTAGTACCTAAATATTATGATTAGAATATTTTAATTATAACATAATTGCAAAATTACGTTTATTTATTTGATCTTAGATAATAGAAAATAATGTGTGACTATATAAATAATTTAAGCATTATTAGTTTTGCAATTTATGCTATCAATAGTACACACTACTTATTTCATTATGTAGAATCTGATGAATTTCATATTGGAGAAATAGATTATGAATTAGAGATTATAGACTCCTCAATTGAATAAGTAAGCGTTACTTTAATTTCGTAAAATTCAGTATCAAAAGCTCAAGTTGATTTATTAATTTTGGTTGAGTAAGATCTCCAAATAAATAGAATCAACATAACAATCATTATTTTAATTCTTATTATTCTTATTGTTTTACTCAAACTCAATTGTAATAGAATAAAAAGAAAATAAACTCTAAATATATAGAGTAACAGTTCTATTGAGTTAGGTTAATCAAATATTATATAATGATAGATATTATTATTTATATTAGTAAAATGAAGTATTATCCATTTTTATATTCCACATCAATTTATCAAATTTCTTTGAATTTTATTAATTGTATACTATTTTTAAATACTTTTTTTTCTAAGAATCTTTATTGCTCTTAAATAAATGCAGTATTTCATTATTTTTGAATTAGATAAATAAAATTAAGATTCTATGAATAAGGATTATAAACCATATTGCAGAGTTATTAATGTTATTTTATCAAAATCCAAAAAATTCAATTTTTAATCCTATAATTAGAATTCTAGTTTTTCGAATTAGTGATAATCTAATATTAAACTCATTAAAATTCAAAAGATTTAAGAATTGATATGAATCTATGATTAATATCAGAAAAGATAAAAATTTTATTAATTATTCTTAAATTACTGAAAAACAAATTTCAACAACAGTAATTTCCAAGTAGGGAAGGATTAAGTTTGTTTGAGAATTTCTAATAACAAATAAAAAATTTAAAATTAAAAATTATTATACTTAATAAATAAATAACAAATAAAAAATAAATATACCACCCCGAAGACTTGAACTCGGATCTTTTCCTTAAAAGGGAAGTGCTCTACCTCTAAGCTAGATGATATAATTATTAAATTGATTTTCAGTATATTTATTAAACATTTTATGAGAATCTATTAAAATATTCAAGTAAAAAGAAGCTTTAATAGTTATTAAATTATAAATGTCTGAAATAAATTAAATTAATATCTGAATTTATTTATTTGGTTCATATTATTCTAAATTTGATTTTAAGATTAATGTTTGAAATATGTTTTATTATTTATGATGATTTTGAATTGAAAAAGATTATATCAATTTAAAAATAAATAAATCTTATAAATATAATTACATAATTAATATTATATATTTTAAAGCGTGTACCAGGATCCACTATTGGAATTCCAAGAGCACCTAATCTGGAAAGGGGAATCAACTATTACCATGCCGGGGACCTTCAAACATAGCCAGAAGGTATGTGAGGATTAGAGAACTTTAAATTGAGAGTGATATGAAGGGCAACTTATTTTGTCTCAAACATATATCAAGTGCCTAAGTGATGTCAATATAGGATGTAGACCTTAGTAAACTTTTGCAATATCTTATGGTCACTTAACATTTTATAGATTCTACTTATTCACATTACTTATTTCTTTCATATTATATTTACTAAGGTCTACATACTGTATTTAAGCGCTTTATATGAAAATTAAATAATATAAAAGAAGAATTGAGAAAATTATATAGATTGTATAATTTGGTACATAAAGTTAATAATTAGAGTCTTGAGTTTATTTTTGAAACTCTTGAGATTAAAAAAAGAAGTTTTAAATCATTCTATTTTGAACTTTTACAATTTTTATTTATTTTTGTTGTCAATTTGAAAATTCAAGCAAGATTTTTATTGAATAATGAAAGTCCTTCTTGAACTAATACTCAGATCTTCATCAGACTTAATAAGAAATTTTATTTGTGGTGCTGCATCTATTTACTTCAGACAGGCGGTCTCCATAGATTGAAAAAAGAAATTTCTTATAAAGAGTTATATCACAATAATCAAGTATTTCTGATAAATTTAGATATGGTTGAATTAAATATTGTGTATTGCTAATAGTGATAATTTTTAAATAAACAATCTAAGTTGAATTAAAATAAAAATTATTACATCCTTATATTTAGTTTTCGACTTAGAAAATTTTTTAGCGTAACCAATCATTTTTTCTAATGTAAACATACACAATATATATTTAAGAAATATTCAATTTAGGAAAAATATTATCATCAAAAACTATATCGAATTAATAGTTTTTTGTATTTTGATGTCTTTAAAATTGATTTTAATGAAAATATGAATTTTTCTTGAATCAAATTAATAATTTATCTAACTTATTAATTATTCAAAAAAATTGATTTTATTTTAGACACCTAAATATTTAAAGAATTTAACTTTCAAATCATAATGATTAATCAGAACTACTGCAATCATAATTTCATCCTCTATAGAATATTCTTGAGTTTCTTTATAAATAATAATTAACTATCATGATAATATTTATAACTTCAATTAGCTAATATATCATTTCTAACTAATTCAATAACTTTGTTCTTATATAGATTTATTTTTATTAAGATGTTTAAAAGATGCCCTTATAATAAATATATTTTAGACCTCTTTTTTATAGAAAGCCCTAACAAAATCTGATTTAAGCAAATAGCTTTCGGGAGGTCTGATAAATCTTTTATATCTAACTTAGTGAAATAAAATTTTTGTTTATTATTTAATTTGAGTAGATAGAATTAGAATATCAGAGATAGAATGAAATCAATTAATCCTTAACTTAGAGTATGAAGTAAAGATAGAGTTTAGGTGTTAATAAATTGGTTAACACTTAATGTGGAGAACAATAAGGAGAAATGCATAAAGTTATAATAGGAAGTAAAGAACATTTTTGTATAAAGATAGGCTTTACTTTCATTAATAAGCTACTGGCTACCTAATTTACACAAGTCATAATTAATCTCCCTCATTTAAAGCAAATATCTTATAACATCCAAAATAGTAAGAAGACATTTTACTTTATTTGGATTAATTTTGAAACAGCCAAATTTATCTAAAACTATAGTTAGTAAAAAATTTTATAAGATAATTTAGATTAAAAAAAAACATCATAGAATTTAATAATGCATTTTTTTATATGCTTGGAATTAGATTTGATAGATATCTGATGGTTTAACAATTTGTACTATCTTACTATTTAATAAGGGTCTGTATATAAATTAAATGTTTAAATAAGTATATTTAAAATTAAATTAAGAATACTTTAAAGTTTATTTTATTATAAAAATAGTTAAATATACAACATGTATTTTAAAATGCAAATATTTCCAATATTTAATAACCATATTGAGACCATATCTAAAAGAATTATACTGCCATATTAACCATTCGAAAAATGGTAAATCCAACTAATCCCCACATAATCAATGATAATCTATCTCTTATTTTTAAATTAATAAATATAAAAGAACTATAGAAATAACATCCTATAACAGTCATTGTAAACAAAGAGATTGCTTAAAGCATACCCATATAACCTAGAATAATTACTTATGCTGCAACTTAAAATGAACTAATTAAAATATTAAATGATGTTCCTGTACTTTAAATAGTTGCGAATCCCATTCTCAAATACATTGGTATCAAAATCATACCATCTCCTAAACAAAATCCACTAAATAACCAGCTTAAAATGAATCTCTTAAGCATTCTTTTTTAATGGTTTTAACACTTCTTTTTAAAATCTATCAAAAATATAATCAAAATAATAATATAATATTACAACCAAACCTAATGTAATCATCCAATAAAAGAATCCACAATAAGATATTCCAATAATTGATTTGAAATTTGAAGACCCTCTTAGAAAAAACCCTAGAAGTACAGTTATAACAATGACACAAATTGTTACAATTGAATCCAAATTCTCTTTTAATGATGTACTCTAAATAGATACTTATTTTTTTTCTGATAAATTATCTATTATAGGAATCTCTATCTAATTCTTAGTTAATTTTCTTTAATTTTCATTATTCCATTCTTTAAGAGCAGTTTTATAAAACTTTTTGCATGAAAAAAATAACAAGTATTGCAAAATAGATATTAAAAAATTCAGGTAATATCTTATTTAGAATTAGACCTACCATACTACCTATTATCATTGCTTGACATGCTACTATTCCACTTCCAAAACTGAAGTTTTTGTTTATGGATCTTTTTTCTAAGCAAGATTTATGAAATTTCCTAGGGCAGCTCCAAATATAGGTAAGAAGACTCCCAACAAGGCTTCTTTCAATGAATAGTTAAAAAAATTGTCATTAAAGAAACTACAACTCCGCCTCCTCTACTCCTAAAATATGATATAATTTAATTAAAACTTGCAAGGGGATGCAAATCCTGTAAAAATAGCTATGCTAAGCATACCTATTAATTCAAGAAAGGTTGCAGGAAAGAAATTCTTATGAGTGCATATTCCATCTATACAATTATAAAGAGAAACACATTCTGATTAAAATCTATTATTGACTTCATAACATAATCTATAAATTTAGGTATTATAATAATACAAGGGTTATTATTAATCATTATAATTTTAAAATTATAATATGAATTAATATAAGTATAAAATTTATACAGTAATTTTTATTTCAAAAAAGGAAAAAGACAGCTGCATTTTCGTATATTGTTCTTTGACATTACCTCAAGATAAATATTGATGTCATTAATTTTAATTTAGAGAAATATATTCAAAATGTTAATTATTGATAGATAGGTTTTTACGACAGTAAATTTTGGGATGATTTACCCATTCTTTGTCATCAGTGTACCTGATTCTGCCTATTTCAGTATTTCTTTTCTTGAGTATTAGTATAAAGATTTTTAAGGATTGCTGGGATTGAAAGCCATAGAACAAGGAAAATGAATGTCTTTATTAGTGTAATTAACTAGATAATTCACATTAGACTACTTGCAAGTTGCTACTGAATAATTTATTTTTGGCAGGGATAATTAAAATTCTTAATTTTAAATAATTATTATATTATGAATTAATAACCTTATTTCATTTTAAGTAAAAATTTTCTTATTTCCTTAAGTCTCAACAATTGAAAAAAAATTATTTTAGATTATTTAATAATCAAATTATTTAAACTTGAAGAAAAAAACTCATGTAAAAACATGAAAAGACTAAAAATTAAAGACATCTAACTTTAAATAGTGAAAATTTTTCTTGTAAAATTAAATCAGAATTCAATTAATCAGGCTTTCTATAAAAGTTGTTTGAGAAATGAATTTTATATTTAAAATTTCATCCTTAATTAAAATCTAATCATTTATGACTTTAGTATTCTTGATAATTACTCTAAGATAAAAAGCAAAATATATAAACAATTAAATTAATTAATAAAAATATTAGAGCAATATTTAGTTCATTTTAGTTTATTTTTGATTTAACAATGAGTTCACTAAAAATGATCATGCTGTCAGAATTTTCACTTGTATATCATTAATACTATATCTACTGAACAAAAGTTAAATATTTTTTTTTTAAATCATTATTAAAGTTAATTAAAATATTTATCAGATGGGCTTATTTTTTATATTGATTTCAACAGTAAAATTATAGAAGTAGAGCTAAGTAAAATATAAATAAACAACTAATTTCTAGTAATTATTCTCAAGGTCATGGACTCTTTTTGTATTAGATGAAGGAAAATAGTTTTTCTAAAATGAATGATTCTGTCTAGTGTGCATCAAGCCATGAATATATTGAATTAAGGTCTCAACTTTGGTAATCTTTTTAGAATAATTAGAATAGAAGGTATTATTATCTTATGAATATAATGGTCAGAGAAATTTATTTTCGATCTATCTAATTTAAAAAATTCTTCCTAAACGTTATTGCTAATTTAACATCTAAAATTTCAATATCTGATTGAATAAATACTTGATGTAATTTAGGAACATTATATGGTTTTGCTCTTGTCTGACTTATTCCAATTTAATAGTGAACATTTTTGTACCCATCCAAAAGTATAGTCTAGTTCTATTTATTTTTTTTAATATTTTAACGTATTTCTTTCTTGAAATTCAAATATTGTGTTAATTAATAAAAGATAAATGAGTGACATTTAAAAAAAATTAATAGAAATACATAATTAAAAAAAAAGATTATGAATTGCACTCATCATATTCAATGTCCAATAAATTTGATATGTATAGCTCCTCACAAGTGTTAATATTAAAGGAAACTCTGCGTTTAATGCATTAAAGAACATAGAGTATATATCTAGCATAAGTTGAGATAAATAAATTTCGAGAAATGGTTATTTAGAAAATAAAAGACTATTAGTTTGATAATGCTTTAGAATTAATCAAATAGAGAAATAATTTTAAATCTGTTCTCTCTCAAACCGAAGGGATTCTGAAGAAAATTTGGAAATAATTAACAGAATCTATCTAATAATTATACGATATGTTTGAGATATAAAATAAATCATCTTTGAATATTATTAACAAAAATACAAATCTAATAGAACAGCATCATACTTAATTAGATGAATTAGTACTAATTTTTAAAGGTCAAAAATTAAAAGATTGGAATTCTTATTAAAATTCTTTTTTGATTAAGTTGGAAAAAATGAAGAATTGGTGGGCCATGAAGTTGAGGATTTTAATGAAAGGTTGAAGAAATAAATAAAAGTGTTTTTTTCATTTAATTAGTAAGAGTTTAAATAATTGTCAATGCTTCAACCTATTGAATAAAAAGAAGATTATTGTGAGATATTCAGATTAATCATTTAAATGTTGAAATAAGAAAAAATTACAGATTTTATAAGATTTCTTACAATAGATGAAAATCAAAAATATTATGAAAAATATATTTATTAAGAAAGATCCCATGTATCGCCTTTGGTAAGTTTAAAAAGTTAAAAGATGGAAAAGTTTCCTTTTAGTTAGTAACAAAAATTATAAAGAAAATTAATGAACATGACTTTAATCAAAATGACTATCCATCTGAATTTTACAATGAAACAAAAAAAGCTCTAATGAATAAAATATCAAATGAAGAAAAAAATTTAGAATTTGTAATATTTCTAATTTACCTCTCCACTTTAGATAAGAAATTCATGTAAAGTGGAGAAAATTCACTAAATTTATTAATTGAAATGAAAGTTGATCTTAAGTAATTAGGTCAAAAAAATATTCAAACTGAAAGTATGTCTATTATATAAAATTTGGTTGAATAATAATAGAATCATTAGAATTAGATTAAATATATATAAGTGAAATTAACTTTTTAAGAAAACAAATATTGAATTATTATTTGATAGATGATAGTATGCAGTATTTACTGAAATTGTAGGGTCACAGTGAAGTGATGATTAGTCTATTCGGTTATGGGATGTCTAGACAGGAAAACAAAAAATCTTAAATAGAGGGTAATTGTGGTGAGATTAAATCAGTATGCTTCTCTCCAAATGATACTATTTTAGCATCTGGTAGGATGATAACTCTGTTAGTTTATGGGATGCTAAGACAGGAAAACAAATAGAGATATTTAAAGGTCATACAGATTAGGTGAGATCAGTATGTAGCTCTCCTGATGGAAATACATTAGCATCTAGTAGTGCAGATAAATCTATCTTTTTATGGGATGTTAATAAAAAAAAATTAATATCTAAATTAGGTGGTCATAATGGACCTGTAAATTCAGTATGCTTCTCTCCTGATAGTAATATATTGGCATCTAGTAGCGCAGATAAATCAATTTTTTTATAGGAGTTTAAGATAGAGCAACAAAAATAACAATTAAATGGTCATCAGAAAAGTGTCTTTTAAGTAAGCTTCTCTCCTGATGGTATGACATTGGCCTCTGGTAGTGCAGATAAATCCATTATTTTATGGGATGTAAGGACAGGAAAAGAAAAATCTATATTAATAGGTCATTGCGATGTAGTTAGATCAGTATGTTTCTCTCCCGATGGTCTGGCGTTAGCATCTGGTAGTTATGATTAGGGAATTTATATTTGGGATGCAAAGACAGGAAAGCGTAAATCGATATTTAGATAACATCATAGGGAAGTTCTAACAGTATGCTTTTCACCTGATAGTACTATATTAGCATCCTGTAGTGGAGATAAGTTTATCCATTTATGGAATGCTCTATATCCATAATATTAAAGTTCCTTCTATCTATTTTGAAAAAAATATTAGAAATTTTATTAACTGAAATAAATTGTGAAAATTATACATATGAAATATTTATTGTTTAAAAATATATTTTAAATAAAATTTTTATAATTTCTATTTTGATTTTATAATGATTTCCATAATGTATATTGTTAATTATTTATTTTGAATATTTCTTAAGTCTTATTCTAACTACTACTATAATGATTTTTCTTGTGCATTGGATAATTATTAATACAATCTAGATTGATAGATAATTAGTATTATTAATTGTTATAATTTTACTAAAAAGAATATATTTAAATAATAAAGATTTTTATTAATACAAAGTAAGTTAAGTTCTTAAACTAGATAGGAGCATTTAGATTTGGATTTGGATACTATTTATGGCTATCAAATGCAATCATTTGATTATGTATTAATTGCGAATTAAATCTATTAAAGGGAATCAAACAGTTTGTAATTGTTTTTTAGTTAAAAATGAGAAATTTTTTGTTTTTAGATAATTAAAATGTCAGATATTTCTGAATATTTTTTTTTGGGTATTAGTCTCCTTTCTCATTGCTAGATTTAATGACATGGCTCTGAACTTTTTTATTTTAAGAGAATGGAGAAATCGCTTTCTATGTTTATTTATGGAATACCTTGATACATAATTTCTATATTTTGACCAACCTGATTTATAAATTTATTAAAGAAAATTTGAAGGCTAATGTTATGGTTAAATCCAAAGATTAAAATTTAATTAAAAAAAAGTATAATTAGTTAAAAATGATATCTGGTAATTGACACAAACTAACCTCTAACCAAAATGAGCAAGAGCAGGTTTTTGATCAGACATGACATCCATCCTTAAATATTAAATTGCCTTCCTCACATTATCCATCAATAATAACTCATTTAAGTAGGTTGAAATTTTTCAAAAGTTAAATAAAATCCACAGTCACAATAATTTCATACAATTTTATACTATAATTATTCATAATTAGTAAAACTTGAAATTAAAAGTAATATAACAACTGTATTTGTTTAAATACTTTTACACTGGCTATCGAATTCATAATGACCATGTGCTATTTTAATCCTTTTTATAGATCAAAAATTAAAAAACTATCAATTGTTCCTAGAAAAAAAGCTTAATAGGATGATGTAATGATATTTTTCAACCAATTGATAGATAGGGTTCTGTAGTTCTTAAAACTGAATATATTTTGGAAATTAGAATATATAATAATTTAATTTTGAATACTTAATAATATATAAGAAGTTGATATCTTTAGGCTAAAATCCTGTTTTATGATTAATATAATATTCAATCTTCATAAATCTTTTCTTTAGGTTGCTAATTATTTCTCATATTCATTTCTACCCATTTGCCAACTTTTATTCCATTTTTATATTAGCCTTCATAAGTGATTTCAGAACCCAAACTAAATCCATCAATTACTTCCACCCAGTTTCCAATTTTAATACCTTCACCTCTTTCATCATAAGATCCACCCCCACTAATCCCTTTATATGCTTAACTTTTACATTTTTTTTCCCTTATATTCAATATCCCATCTACTTACTTTAATACCATTTTTATATTCACCAACATAGGCGACTTCAGAACAGCCGTTAAAGCTATCGCTTAATTCAATCCATTTTCCAACCTTCAAACCTTCTCCTTCTTGATCATATGATCCACCCCCACTAAAATTATATTATTCTTCAAATTTTACATTTATTCATATTCATACTCAATATTCCATCGACCTATTTTATTGCCATTTTTATATGAGCCATTATAAACTAATTTCGATTCGCTCCAAAACTCATCATCTAATTCAATCCACTAACCAAGCTTAACACCTTTACCTTCTTCATCATATGATCCCCCTCCGCTAAAACATATAGACTTATTAATGTTTTACATCTCTTCTTCTTCAAACAAAATATTCCATCTACCAGCTTTATTTCCGTTTATATATTTACCACTATAAGAGACTTGAGTCTATTTATCATATTTATCGCAAATTTCTATCCACTTACCAAGCTTAACACCTTTACCATCTTCATCATATGATCCCCCTCCGCTAAAACATATAGACTTATTAATGTTTACATCTCTTCTTCTTCAAACAAAATATCCCATCTACCAGCTTTATTTCCATTTTTATATTAGCCACTATAAGAGACTAATGAATCCTCGTTTAACACGTCATTAAACTCAATCCATTTCCCAATCTTTTTACCTTCACCTCCTTCATCATATTACCCGCCACATCTAAATAAATTTACTTTATTTTATTTAAATCTTACATCTTTTAGAATTCCCTCATATATTCTCTTTTATTCCAAGTTTCCCATATTCCCACTGGCGTACCGTTTTTGTATTGACCTTTGTATATAATTTACGACTAGCCTGAAAACCTTTCGTTCACTTCGATCCACTTCTCTGACTTATAGCCATTATTGTCATATAATCCGCCACCTCTATAGCATTATATTTTTTTAATAGTTTACATCAACTCTTGGAGAAAAAGAATGTCCCATATGCCTACTTTTTTACCATCTTGATATTCCCCTTTATATGTTACTTAAGACATATCACAAAAACCCTTGCTCAATTCTATCCATTTCCCATTTTTTTTAAATTATTCATTGTATAATCCTCCTCCACTAATTAATTAATAATTTATCTTACATATTTCTATTTTTATAGATATATTTCCACATTCCATATTTTTAACCATTTAAGTATTTTCCATTTTCATGTACTTAAGCTAGACTAGAGTTTTTTACTAGATAACAATTTTACTTCTAATAATTCTGAATTAATTCATTCCATAAACCTACCCTTAAACCATTTTCATAGTAACCACCTAATCCTTTAAGCAATTCTCCATGCCATATGGTTTTCCATTTTCCAGATTTTCTATTATTTTGTCCGTATTGACCTTCAAACTTAAGATACTTGATTTGATCAAAATTATTCAATAATTCAGAATTTGAATCAGAATACATAAATTAATCCCTTTTCAATAAAGAAATACACTTACATTCTTAAAATTGCTCCATTTTTTATATATTAAATTTATCTATTTGAGTTTTATTTGATTTGGATTTTAGTTTTCCCAAGTTAGTTGTTAATATAATCTTATTAATCAATTTCGATTTCTATTATGCCTTTTTTCAAAATTAATGATTCTTAGCAAATCCTTGTATATTATTTTAAAAAATCCATATTTTATAAATATTAATTAGAATTATACTTTTCTTTAAATAATAATTTAAGATATTATAAATTAAAAACAAGGAGGATTAAAAATTTAACCAAACTTTTTTTTGTTAAAAAATTAAGCTATTGAAAAATTTAAATCTTTAGTTTCAATTAGAATAGAAAAGAATAAATGTTTAAATTTATCTAAAATATCTACCTTAAATTTTAATTTTTGTTGAAGCCTTAATTTTACATCTTATCAATATTGTTAAAATTATCTGGGCCTTATTATTTTAGTAATTAATCTCTCTAATTTTATAATACTTCTAAGATTAGTCATTTAATACAGATAATGTGATTTATCTTCTTTACTAGATATTTTACCTCCAAATAATTTAATTAATCAAACTATTAGCATTATTTTAATCTTTAAATTCATTTTATACTTAAAAAATTTGCAGATCAAATTTGAATAAAATAATAATAATTCTACTAATATTGTTAAGAATTGCTAATTAATGAAAATGAGAAAAACAGGGTAAAAAAGTTATACATGTTACAGAAGTTTCAGAAAAAACCAATAATTCTAAAAACTTATAGAAATTTGAAGAACATGTTCTATAAATTAGCTATTTTCACTTGAATATTTGATTAGGTAAAATTTAATTTATAAAAAAACTTTATAGAAAGCTTATTAGTTTACTTGATTTGATGTTTGCCATCAGAGAATATCAAGTCAAAATATTGGATGAAATAGAATTGTTAGATTAGAATTTTAATCACAAAAAATGAGTATTAAATATCTTCTGATCAATATGTGTAATTATTAATTATATTAATATTTATAGGTATAATTATAGTCAAGATTTATAGTATAATATTGGTTAAAAGAAATCTGATTTTATTGATTTGAATGGTGGATTTTGTTTTGAAAATAATTACACGATTGAATATGAAAATTGATAAATCATTTTAAATAGAAATAATAATAACAATAGAAAATTATAATAGTTTAGCTGTTTTCCTTCATTTTTATTATTCTTCTACAAAAAATTTCCATCTTCATCGATAATTAAATTAATTAATTTACATTTCTTATTCTTACTTAGTCTTACTGTTGGTTTTTCTCTTTAAGTATTGTATTATCACCTCCAATTTTCATTTTTTCTTTAATTTAAACCTTAGAAACCACATTTGCCCCTAACGACTCAAACTATCCTTAAGAAATTTGGACAACTGTCAAAGAAGATACCCTTCGTTAATTTAGAGCTTATTATAATCTGACCTTCATCTTATCAATTTAGTTATTTAATTTAATTTTTTGGATTATTCTAATTGCCTAATCTGAGATAATTACTAAAATTAATTAAACTAAATTTAAAAAAATCAAGTAGAAATATTATATCTATTGGTAAGAAAGTTAAGGTAAATCCTTTTTGAGACTTTTGAGAAAAGAAATTCATCCTTGAATAATTATGGAATTATAAATAATTAACTGTCGCTACTTTCTCTAGAATTTATAAAGATCTTTGAAAATTATCCTTAAGCATAAAATTTTGATTAATAGAATTTAAAATCAATTTTTCTTAAATGATCAATATAAAAATAAAAATGTTGTTCATATTTTCTATAATTATATTGAAACATAATTTTATCATTATTCTAATATTATCATAAAATGATAATAATTAAAATATTTAGTATAATTTTTTGTATTTATCTAATATTTAATTACGTCTTAAATAATTAAATTATTAAATATTCTCAAATCTTCTTATTTATTTTATTTTTGTTAATACTTCTTATTTCATCTAAATGTTAATTCATATATATTAAATTATTAAATTAATTATAATATATTTTATGAAAACAATTTTCGAATTAATTCATCATTGTTTATAAATGTATAACAATATTATAAGTAGATAGAAAGATTTATCGATTTTGAGTTTTAAGACATTTTATTATCAAATATTGAATCAATCATTCTATTTAATTAATCTAAGAACATAATGATTGAATTTTTGCACTTTAGATTTCCAAAAACTGATTAAAGTGTTATCAAAAGTGTTCTTTATTTCTTATATTTCTAACAGCAACTTAAACGTATTATTGAAAAAAGGATGATTAAATTAAAAATGATTAATTTGATATCTGGTCAATTCTTTTTTTTTGACTAATCTGAACAAATAAAATTTATTGATAATTGATTGAATTCTTATTATTGTAAAAATTGGATACCATGTTCAAAAGATAAATATATTGTTGCATTCATCAAATTATTCATTTGATTATGCTTTTGCTATATTAGAATCAATTTTAAAACACATTATTAACTACCCACATCATTGAGTTCTGATGATGATTGTAAACCATATAAAAAGTATGAATAATAACAGGAAAATGTTGTTTTTTAGCAACAACAAAAACCATTATGTTCTACATATTCAGTAGAAATAGTAGAATTTAAAATTATTACAATTATTATATTACTTGTTTTGGATATATTGGATCTGATGGAGTTTGCAAAGGTGATGTTGGGGGTTTTAGTGTAGAACAAGAAAATGTGAAAATAGTTCATTCAATACTAATGAACTTTTTTAATATTACCAAAATACTTGTAATGCTTGTAAGACAAATGGCAAAACATGTGTTTCAGCATTAAGAGCTTGTTATACCTATAAAAGTACTGCCACCATTTGTGCTAAATATATTGGTAATGATGGATATTGTAAAGGAACCAGTGCAACAACTGAAACTTCTAGCTTACCAATAGAGCTCCAGATACAACAACTACTGATGATGCTTGTAATAAATATTAAGTTATGTGTTACAATAACTATCTTTTATTACTTATGATGGTGATGCTACTAGTTGTAAATCAACAGTTGGATCTGAAGGTATATGTATATGGAAAACTGGAGTCAAATGTGTTGCTAGAGATTGTATTTAAGCATCAGCCAATTTAAATACTAATTTTCTTTGTGCCAATTATTTCTCTTATTTTTTTTACTACTAGATCTAGATGTGTTTCAAAAACTACTAAATAATAAAGTTATGAAGGTTCTAATAATTTTTCATGGCAACCTATTTGTACCAGTACTTCAAATTGTAGTGCATTTACGAAAAAATCAATTTGTGTAGCAAATTAAGCTAGAGTAAGGATTTTTGATAAAAATAATGAAAATGGAAATCAATTATTTATTTTTGTATAATTAAAATTATAAATTAATATCATATCAAAAAAATTTGATAGGTTGAATAATGCTTGTAAGGAATTTTCTTGCTCAGATTTAACAGGTGCTTATTATAATTCTGATGCTAATTGTGCAGCAGAACTATTAATACATTAGTAATAGATTTGATGCTTATATAATTAAATATGAATGTAGTAAACTTTCAGGAACATAATTCACTTGTTGAAGTTATCCAGGTATTGTACTAATTCATCAACAGCTACTGATACTACTCCTTGTGTATAAAGAAAATGTTCAGATAATACATAAGCAACTGATAATGCTACATGTGCTTCATTCTTACCTAAATGTATCAGTAATGGAAAAGGTTGTGTTGATTAAATTAATCCATGTGCATCTATGAAAGGAAATTAAGAAAATTTAATAAGATATTTGCTTATAAGACCTGATCTATTGATAAATTTACAACTAATTAATGTTACACTGTTCAACAGCCACTGAAAATGATTATTGTAAAATCAAAACTTGCAAATTAGCAGAAAACTAAAATGATGGTTCGTGTGATTCATTATTAAATGGATATTTCTAAAATGGAAATGGAAGGTGTATTGAGGCAAATGCTAATGACACAACTTGAACAAGTTATAAAGGTGTTTTGGCCTTTTGTGAATCTGCTGTTGTTAGAAGTAATAGTTCTAAATATTGTTTTAGAAGATCTACATCAGCTAAATCTACTCTTTAAGCTTGTACAGATAATACAACAGCAATAAAATTGAAAATTGTGAGGATTTCAAGGTAGAATGTATAGTTAAATCTGAAGAAGGACGTGTCAGGAAATCAAAATCTTGTTCTTAATAATCAGGAACTGTTACGTTTTGCCCTAACTTCAGTGGTGATTTAAAATTCTCTTCAATTTGGACTAAAGTTAAATGCACAAAATATTATGCTTACTAAGTTAGATTTTGCTCTAATAACATAAGTCCTTAATCAGCTAAAGATTGCCTTGATCATAAATCTACTTGTAGATTTTTAAGGCTGGATCTGCATACATTGATGCAACAGCTTGTAGTAGTTATAGTCTACCAGATACTGCAATTACTGATTAAGAAACGTTTGATTATTTTACAAGTATCAAAGATAACGTTGAGTTATTATTTGGTTATACATCAGGAGCTACTAAATTTTCAGCTAGAACTTGTGAATAATTCTTAAGCAAATATACATCATTATTATGCACTACTTATTTATAGAAGAATATCTCTACTTCTACTGATGATGCATATAAATTAGCAGGAACCATATATTATATATCAAATAAAGTAGACTGTGTATATGGTTATGCTTCTACTGATATTAGTGATATTCTTAAATAAGCTCAATGTAGAAGGTTTATAAATGAAAAGGACTTGCAGGTACATTGAAAACAGGTAAAACTAAATGCAGTTTATAAGATAGTTGCAAAATTAATTATTCAAACAGATTTAAGGACGTGTACCGATTCAACTCTTTTGGCAAGTAAAGGAGAATGTTAAAAAGTAACAGATTCAAATTGTCTCACTATATCAGAAACTTGTAGTGATTACAAAATAGATTCTACATTTTAAAATGTAAGATTTTTTAAAGATTTGAATTTAAATAAATTTTAAGACAAAATTTGGCTTAGATTTTTGTATATTTTTTAATCTTAAAAATAATAAAATCAATGAATTCTAATTCTGTCTTAATAACATTTCATTAGGGGATATTTGATATTAATGTTTGGAATTTAGGAATTTTTGAAAAAACTTACAATTTTAAGCTTTGCTTTAACCAAATTTTTTCTTAAGAAATATCTGCGAGATATTTAACTCAAAACCAAGACATAATAAAGAGACAAAAATTCAAATTCAATCATTTTATATTTATAATTCACTAATACCTATCAACCTAAAAAAAATTGTAAAGATTTATGACCATATTTTCACTAAATTTAAATTGAGAAATTCTTCGAATTATTATTAATTAATTATTAGCAAATTCAAAAGATCTTTTATTGTAATACTATGAGCATAGCTGTACCTGGAATTGCATTTAATCAATAGGAATTATTTCAATTTTTAACTTTTTATACTAACAATAATTATTTTTAAATCAGAGATTTTTAGAATAAATTAATTTTAAAAATTCACTAATCCTAAGGCTGCTTTATTCCTCTAAAGGTATATAAGATTTATTTTGAAATTTAGAATTTTTATGAAACTTAATTATTCATAATTTTAATTACACCTACCCACTTAATTAGGTTTAACAAATTAAAAATGGAAAGAATATTTATACTAGAAGTTTTCCGGATTGGATTAATGAATAATTAAATTTCTAATTATTTTACATAAATTTTTATAAAATTTTTTAATAAATATAGGATGGTTTTAGTTTCCTAGGTGGATTAAACTTCTCGAACTAGCCATGCAATTATTGAAAAAAAAAAAATTATCTTTTCGAAAACCAAACAATAAATTATCAGAACTTAATTAAAATGCTGTTCCTCAACCAGACCACATATCACAATAGTTATTAAGTTTTTGTAGATCTTTCAATTTGAAAAAACGACATAATTGTATATTTTTTGAAGGGTTCTAGTCATGTTTGAGAATACAAGAGAATAATTTTAATTTTTAAAGTCCTTACATCCAAATTAATTAGACTTAAATTTTAAGATTGATATTACTTTTTAATAAGGAATCATTTCATCTTTCTTTTAAATATTATCAAATACTAAAAACATGTCTTATGAAAGTTGATGTGAGTAAATTTTCATTTAGCAATAAAATATTCAAAAGCTTTCTAAAAATATAAATCTTACTAATATTATCAAATGGAAATCTTTAACATGAAATAGCAAAATATTAAGAAGGAATATATTTATTATCAATGTCTAATTTGAAAGATTAGGAAGTCTAGTCTATCTTTTTCAAAGAGAACGAAAGAAATCAAATTATTTGAGAAAAAAGGACTGCTAGCTTAAATGGAGCTATTCTTCAATAAAAAAATAATATTCTGATAAAAAAGCTTTTATAATTAATAATAAAAAATACATCTTATATAGAAAACGATCTGCTCTTATTTATCTTGAATTATCACGAATTTGCTTTTCAAATTTTTTTTGAAGAATTGATGTGTATCTGAAAAAGTTAAAGAGATAAAATTTAATAGTAAAAAAAAAAGAATTTTTAATTACTTTAAAAATGAATTTTATCATTAACTTTTATCCACTTTTATAATGATAAGGAAAACACAAATGAATAATGGTCTTGCAATCTTAGATATAAATTTTTAAATTATTAAAATATTAAATTAAATTTAATTATTAGTCTTTACTTTACATTAACTAGAATAAGAATATAAGAACTATTTCAGGGATTAAAGGTGATCAAAGATTCATCAAAATTAGGAACACAATATGCAGAATATATGAAATGTGTTTATAAGACAGGTAGTGCATGAGAAGCTATTTCTGCTTGCTAAGATATTATCTCAGCTTCAAGTTAAGAAGAATATACAACCCATAAACCAGGATTCTTATATTTTAATTGAAAGTGTTATGCTGCAGTTTTTTCAGATGGTTTACCCTTCAATATTTCTAACCGAAATTACAATAGAATTTAAAAATTTTCTTATTGGAAAAGTATCCAAGAAGCTAGTGACTATTGTAGAATAAAAATTGATTAAAGTAAATGTGAACTTGCAATTAATAAAGATTGCAGTGTTTTAGCAATTCCTACTTCAGACAGTTTGGATTCAAATAGTGATTTCAATTAAAGTGCATTCAAATTTGCATATTGTCTAGCTTAATCAAATTTAGAGAGAAGTTAATTATATAAATATTCAACTGGAACAACTTGTAGCGATGGAACATGTGCAGATATTTCATCCCCTACTAGTTTAGAGATTGTTCCATTTACGTAAATAATAAACATAATTAAAAAAGATTAGTTCTAGCGATTGTAATAATAATGATAGTAAAGTTGTGGATCCAGGATTGAAACCAACATAAAAAGTAACATTTTGCTAATTCTTTTAAAAAAAGCCTGATTAAACTAAAATTTGTACATTTTATTAATATAATTCAACTTCGCCAACTTAATGTGTTGATGGTGGTAATTGTGATTCCTATGGCAATTTGCCAAACAATAATGATAATGATGATTCAAATAGTTGTTTAAGTAGAATTAGTGATGTTTGGTGTAAAATTTGCATTCACATCTGGTGATGCTAAATGCAGAGATTTTTATTGCAAACATATAAAAAATCCGATCTCTTAAATGGATTGAGATTAATAAAAAGATGAAAAATATACTTTATCTCTTAGGAACATGTTAAAATAAGTTTACAGCCTGTACTGATATCCCTGCTTAAAGTGGATATGAGAAGGTAAATCAAACTGTTGCTTAATTTAGTTAAATTTAAGAACAACTTGTAATTTTCAAGAAAAATTTCATCTTTATAGTATAAACGATAAGTAAGTATCTATTTATGAGACATTGACAGATGAAACAAATAAACTTACATATATTTCTGTAATAATTGTTTCATATTGGATAAATGTGAAAGTTATAATGCAACATTCCCCCTGCATTAGATCCTGCAGAAGGTTCATAAGAGACAGAATGTAAAACAGTTAAATAATCCGATGGCTATGCATACATTATGGATGCTACAAAAAATGCAGAGCATAAGTTTGTACTGATGATGATGCAAGTGCAAAAGATTTTATTAATAATTTTCTCTATTATTCCAATAAATGCTTAACTAAGGGTAGTTGTGCAGATTATATGCAAAAAGGTTATGATGATGAAGTTAAATATATATATGGTATGAAGGAGTCTAGAATGATACAGGAGATTTTTGTGCTTGGAATTCATCTAATTTCAAATGTAGAGATAGATCATGTTAGTGTAAGGCATTCTACGAAGATTTTAATTGTTTAAGTTATCTTAATTCTTGTAGAATGAATGGAACTATATGTGTTTCATATGAAGAATGTACTTCAAACAATGGATCAATTGATTTTTGCAATGCCTTATCTGATTCAACAGGAAAAGATAGATGTAGACCTATTGTAACTGCTATTTATACATCAATTAGAACAAGTTATGATAAAGTTACAGCCACAACTTATTCTGAATGTGATACTTATTTAAGTGTAAGTGTCACTCGCGGTGCAGGATGTATTCGAAATTCAGAACCAAGCACATCATACAGAGGCACTAAACAATAATGTGAATTATTAAAAAAAACATACTGGATTTGATGATAAGAAAAATTCTACTTATGAATATTGTCCATGAGATGCTGGAAATATTGCCACAAGTAAATGTAAAGTAAGAACTTGTGCAGATTATATTATTGCTACTGCAGATGTTGAATATGTTATTTATATGAAAGAATGTATTAAAAATTGTATAGGATGTGTGGAAGCATCTTCATCATGAACTGCATTGAAGGGAGATTAAGAAACTTGTGCTTAATTCTTGGGCACTTCAGGTAGAGATTATTTTGGAATACTTCAACTGCATTGGTTACAGCCAATTATACTAAAAAGAAATGCAGCGATATCTCAGGAAAAAACAATAAAGAATGTATTGATGGCATGCCACCTTTTAAAACTACTGATAATCCTTTTTGTGTTTTTGATGGAACTTCATATATTATTTATAATGCATTCAATCGAACTGAAGAGATATGCCCTACTTCTTTAGGTAGAGATTGTTCATGTAAAGCTACAACTGTAAAGGATCATGTGCTAAGAGATTATGTACAGAAACACCAAATACTCTTACAACTGATGCTGATTGTTAGAAATATCATTAAGATTCTTACACAACTGGTAATGGATGCACAAGTACTAAATCAAGTTTCAATTTAACATCATAAGTTGCTTGTAAATTAATTAAATTTATAAATCAGATTTTGGAGAGAGGAAAATATTTAAATATTTGCCAAAAATGTATGATTCAATTATAAATCATAACTTTTATTAATTGTTTAAAATATTTTTGATGAAACCTTTAGTGGTAAGAAAAAATCAAATTAGTATTGAGAGGAAACATCAAATTTTTAAGCAACCAATATAAAACTAAAAATTTTTATTTACCTTCCCCTTCTATTATATTTAATTACTTTTACTTTCATCACATCAAAAATATGCTGCTTTAAAGTTGTATCTGGATATAATGAAACTTTATATGAATAGAAGAGCAAGAAAATTATATAAATGATCTTTGAAGAGAATTATCGATTTTTTCATACTAATTTGATAAGAAAAAATATGAGTGGAAATATTATTTGGTTACAAAAATAATCAATATAAATTGAGTATTTAATGACGAAACCACCTAAATATTTTACTCCTTAAAATTATTAATTATGCAATATTAAAATTATTAAAGTAATGCAAAAGAAAAATATCGAAATTTTTTGAAAATATTTGAAAACTTTTATGAATATATAAGAGTTTAATAAATAATAATAAAATGAAAATTAATGATTCTCAAATTTAATAATAAAGTCCAAAAATCTTTAAATCTACAATTGTCGAAATCTATCATTTATTTGTTTTAATAATAAATTGCCCATTTTTGGAAGTCAGAATTAGAATCTAAATTTAATTAAAAGAAGCCTGAAATTGTTATATAGGTCAATAGTTTAGCATCATATAATTGCATAACAACCAGCATATTTACGAAAAGTTTAGAAATTATAGATCATGCAAAAATAGTATCAATTAAGTCATCAATCTGTAATAATCACATATATGATACCTTAAAAAATATATATCTTTCAATTAAAAAATAAAATTATGGAGATGGACACTTTCAAAAAATAAAGAAAGACAAATTACAAGAAATTTTTCCAAAGCCTCTATTTAATAATTGTTTTTTATATGAAAACAAAATGATTACACCATTTCTCTACCTTTTGAATTACATCTCCAATTAAATCTACCAGAATTTTTCAGTATTCACATTTCATTCTGACAAATCTTATAGCAAGATTAAAGACAAAGTTAATATCGAATTCTCAAACAATTAATGATAGAAAGAATAACTAAGAAATTATCATTCAAGAATATACGAAAATAATTTTATAAGTTTCTTAAAAATTCAAGCCTCCAAATCTGATGAAATTGTATTTCAAAAAAAGCAAGAAAAAAAGTGATGTTTTGAAACACTCTTAGTACATTTTTGAAAAAAAAGAACAAAAGTATTTTACATAACATACTGATGGTTCAGCTTTGTGAATAGACTAAATATTTGATTTACTTCAGGTTCTTAATGGCATTTAGAATTTAAATTTTTGCTCATTATCTAATAATGAAGTATCGAATAAATTTTAATCTCCATGTTCCTAATGTGTATGTGCTTTATGATTGGGGAATGCTACAGTTGTTAAAAATTCTTCTCACAACTTCAACTTTTGGAAATTTTGTGAATTCATCAATTTTTTTTCAAATTTCGAAGGCATATATTTGAAATATAAATTAGATGTAACAAATGAAGTTCAAACTCAATTGTTTTAGTAACTTTTACTGTGTTCGAGGGGAGGATTATTAAACCAAGATCTTTAGCCTGAAAATTGACAAGCCCTAGCTTTTTAGTCTATCCTGATAAAATCAGAAAGCGTCAACTCTATCAATGATATAAATGTGTAAATTCAAATCAATATTAACTCAACTTAGAGAATGGGCTAATCTTCTACGCTAGAATGATATTCTAAACGATAAATATTAACTCAATACAACACTTTAAAAATGAAGTATGATTTTGTTAGCAGAATATTTGCAATAGACGTAAGAAGTACTTGATTTTAGAAAAATAAAAAAAATAGGAAAGTTGATATATTAACGAGTTGCAATTTATAATACTAAATTTTTAATCATTCCTTATAATAATTAAGTATTAATAAATATATGTTTATATATATTTTTTATACCGGTATGGATTTATTATTTAAATTTTATTAAGAAATATTAGCCTTAATGAATAAGAGAACATCTTCATTACGGGGAGGTGGTTGTGGAACTTTTAGAATGTTTCCGAGAACATAAGAAAACTTAAAGTCAGATATTTCAGATATAGAAAATTTCATTAACAAATTTAATCATTTTGTTGAAATAATTTTTACTAAAGCTGCTGTTGCTATCAATTCGATATAATCTTAAGAAATAATGATAGCCATATAATGGTTTGTTTTTTAAGAGGAAATTATCTACAAACTTAATAAGAATCCCTTAAATATCATAAAATCATACAACCTAATTGTAGAGGGAATCAAAAAATTATTGCAAAGCTGTTTGATCTATATTAGAACAGATTCGTTTAAATGTTTGTATATCTTATAGATTACAGCGGCTCTATCCAAAGTCATATTTAGTTTCCATATAATGAATAGCGATAGAATTATGAATTTTAATTTATAAAAGTAATTCTTAGAAATTTCTGATGATTTAAAATAATAAATGGAAATAGAGAAGAATGATTTGGTTTAAATTTAAATGGAAGTTTATCTTTTTTTAACTAAAACTTCTTTCGAGATGGCTCCAAATAACAATTAGGAAAGGGAAGATATTTTGAAAAAATTTGTAAATGGTATATTTGAATCATTAAAGGGTTTGAAACCTACTGCTGAATTACTTGAATCCTTATATTTGGCAGCCAGGTAAATTCACAAAATATATACAATTTAAAAAAATAGGTAATAATATGAGGTGTATTTTTAAATAGACATGTTATAATGGGAAATTATAAGTTGTTTTAGAAATGAAAAATTTTTATTTCTAAAAAAAGTAATTTTACAAATATAAGAAATATATGAAGAACTTGTGAAAAATTCAAATAATTGGAAAAATCATTTTTTATGGATTTAAATGATTGGGAAAATTTTAATATTTAATCCTCTTATTACAAAACAAAGATTAAATGAGTTAACCAATTCTAACGATTTTGTAGTTAATTTAAGGTAAATATGGAAGGAATATCAGAACAAAGGAGTACTTATTTAGTTGAACCATACAAATGACTAAGCTGTTATTTTACTTAGTTAAATTTAAAATAATAAAATTCTATAACTTGATAGATAAATGTTGGAAGATAGTTTCAAAGGATGGAAAGACTTTCTTACACTTAAGCAATATTTAATTGGTTAATTAAATGAAAAAACACCATATACAATTAATTCCTATTTAAGATGTAAATTTGATTTGTCGAGACAGGATCCCTAAAAAAATGAAAAAAATTTCAATATTGAGAAAATGAAAATGCTTTTAAGTTTCATTATTCCAACTAGCTTAATTAATTTAATAAAATAAAATATTGGAAAATTGGGGGAGGTGATTAAAGTTTAGAAATCATTTAGGAAAAATGAGTAAGCCCATAAAAGTCTATTAAAAAGCACTGTTAATTCTTAATTAAAAAAGATCATTTGCAACTTATCAGATTATTTACAAAACACACAAAAGATTCTCAAAATCTTTTAGCTGAATTAGAAGTAAAATTACTGTTAGACTGACAAACTCAATGAGAAAGACAAATTAGAATTTAATAATTTATTTTAGCTTAAATATTTGTTGAAACTATTAGAAGAAATATTATTATAAGCAGTTTAAGAAATTAGGAATAAACGAAATCCATTCTGCAATCAAGATGACATAACTGATGAAATAAAAATACTTTAGGAATAGAAAGAGTTGATTTAGGAGAAATTAAAAAATCTAAATCTAAAAGATAACCAGTTTTCATTTGTCAATAAGTTACAGTAGAAGCTTCTTACCTTGCTAATTGCAACTCTTGACTATAAGAGCTTTCTGAAAAAAGCTCACAGCATTTTAAGACTTGTTGAACATTCTAAAAAATAAATCTAAACACTAGAAATTTTGTTACTTTAAAAGAATAACTTTATTTAATGTTTTCAGTGTTTATTGAATCAACTATATGTTGAGGAAGATCAAAAAATATAAAAAGATTTTTAGGAATCCATTTTAAGTTTTAAGACAATACTAATTTCATAGTATGAAATAGAGTCTATTGAAGAATTTGGGGAAATTAAATAACAAATTTCTAATATGCTATCGTTTTAATTTGTAAACAACTTAAGATTGAATAATTTAAAGCTTCAATTACAGCTAATTGCCTTAAAGGAGTCCTTTTAAAATATATTTCTAGCCAAATTGAAAGAATCTTAATCGTTAAAAGAAGTTATCGATTTGGATGAGTTTCTCGTTAATGTAATTAACAATTATCCAAAACTAATAATTTTCTGTCACGAAAATGTTTACAAATAAATTTTTTCTGAATTAACAAGCATGTAAATTACTGAACAAGACTATTAAAATAAGTTATCAAAATAAAAAGGATTAATAGAATACCTAACATTGATATTAAATTTAGAAGAATAACTGATAGATTTAGAAAAAATAGATTTGGAATTAATTGATAAGGAATTTGGAGAATTAATTAAGGAAGAATCCTGTTCTTCCTCTCTGACAGAAAGAATTATGAAAATAATTGAAAATGCTTAAATTGAAAATTCTATAAAATCTGTGACTAATGAGCAATTTAATCAATCAGAATTGAATTTTGAGGTTGAAAAATATGATAAAATGTGGAAATAATTAAGAGCTTTGAAGAAAAATTACAATTGTCATGAAAACTAAAATTTCAAAGAAGTAATTAATCATATTGAGATGATAGTTGAGCTTTTAAACAATTCCTAAAATTAAAATTTAGAAATTTTTAAAATACCAATTATGGAATTGTTAAAGTAGTTAAAAAGTAAATAAGAAGAATTTCAATAAAAACTAGAGAATGATCAATGTTAATAAAATAAAAATGATTCTTGTGATCAAAATACAACCCAGATTACAGGCAATCAAGAACATGTAAAAGAATTATAAGGCATTATCTCTATTCTGAAATTATTATCATCAAAAATAAAAGAATAAAAGCAATTACTTTGTTAAATACTTGAAGAAACTAAAAAATTCTCTAATATACTTCATCTCCTTCACAAATATAATAAAAATATATAAGAAAAAACATATCTATAATTTCATAGTCATTTCAAAAGTCAAATTGAAAATTTTGAAAAATCGCTATGGACAACAACTAATTTATAATAAATGGAAAAAGAGTCATTTATAGATTACTATAATAGAATTGAAATTGATATTTAGAAAGTTAAAAATGAAAAAGATGATGAGAATAGAAAATAAAAAACAAATGTTTGCGATTTTCTCAATAATTTAAAGGGAAAAATAAAATTAAAATTAAGCTAGTCTAAATGCAAAATCTCTAAAATTTAGTTTGAAGAAGAATAACTGATTCAATAAATTAAAAAAATATACTTCTCAGATAATGAGGAAGAAGAGGAAGAAGATAAAGATGATGAAGAATCAAATAAAAAATTAGGATTTTTTTAGTCTTTGAATCAATAATATAAAGATTATAAAAATAATTATGAATGGAAAATTAAATAGGGGCTAGTTTTTACTATAATTTAGATTTCATCAAATTGCTTCACAGATACAATTATTTAATTTTGTTAATAAGCCCTAATTTAATTATGGGTTTTAGAAAAAGATTAAAGAGTTAGAAATTTGTTAAAAAACTAAGACTTAATAAGTTTGTAAATGTAAATTTTGAAGAAAGGTTGGTAGACTCAAAACGAGAGAATTACAGGAGAAATGTAATAAATGCTGAGTAAAATCGATTTTTTGTAAGAATAAATTACCCAAGAGGCAAATGTGAACAAAAGAGAGCAATAATTGAAAGAAATAGATGAAACAACTGAGCAATTAGATGAATATATTAAAAACATCTGTGAAATGGGGTAATAACTTAGATTAATAACCGATTTTGTTAATCATATCAGAAAGGGTTTGATAAGAGTTGAGGGAAAAATAAATGAGATGAAGAAATAGCTAAACAGCTTGGGTAATGACATAAAATTTCTTAGAGGAAAATCTGTTGAAGAACTTTTTGATATTAGAAAATCGAAAGTATTGAAAGAAGCAGCAAACAAAAATGTTAGGTCTATATATGTGCCATTATAAACATTGGAGATATTTCATAAATTAGATAAAGTGGGATAGGAAGAAAAGAGTATTTTGATGAATTTGGATAATATAAATGATAAAGGAGGGGAAGTGAATGAGTTTTTATTAGAAGATGAAGAAACAGTATTATTAATTCATGGAGTAGCTGGATCAGGCAAAAGTACTGCAGCTAAGAAAATAGAAGAATTTATTTGGAAATTATATGAAAATAATAATAAAATCAAGAATCAAAATCTAATACCAATTTATATTTCATTACCCTCTTTAAAAAATCCTGTTTTTTAAGCAGTAGAGGAAGCACTTCATCAAGATGAGTATGGTTTTGATGAACTCTAATTGAAAGAATGTAAAGAGATGTTAGAAAAAAAAAAATTCCGATTTCTATTCATAATGGACAGTTACGATGAGATGAAATTAGAAAATATTTAGAAAAACCTATATATTAATAATAAACTTAAATAGAATTGGTCAAACCCACTTGTTATTTTTACTACAAGAAGTGAAATTTTTACAAATAGTAATTATTCTCTATGGTTTGAGCCGGAAGAGAAGGAAAAATTAAAAGAAATCAAACTTATGAAATTTGATTCTCCATAAATGCTTTAATATCTCGAAAAATTTACAATTTAAAGTGTTAAAATGTTGATTTTTGAAATTTATGAATGGTAAACACAAATTTCTAAAAGAGGAGCAATGGATATCAAAAAATTTGAAAATTGTTGGGAAAAATTGAACCAATTTTTAAAAAAAGATTTATTAGGGATGAAAGGGGAGAATCTATTGAATTAAAAATAAATAGAATATATTAAATCGTTTTTGGAGAATGATGAGTTTATATCTTTAAAAAGTCAAGATGCTTTAAGAAGTCTGAGCATAAATTTACAAAAACTGTGGAGCGTTGAAAAGTACAACAACATGATGAGTTAAATAAATTTAATTAAATTGGTGGTAACTCCATATATGATGGAAATTGTAGTTTAAGTGTTGCCTGATATGATTGTAAAAGCAACTGAGATAAATAATTTGAAATAAAATTTTATAAATAATTTTTCAAGAAAACTCAAAGCGTTTTACAAAAGTAAATATTTGATTGAAATGTATCAATAACAATAATAATAGAAAAAGCTTTTGTCTTAAAACAATAGAGATGAAAACTCTTAGAAAGTTACATCATTTGAGATAGAAAATATAGAAAAACTAAACTTTCAAGATGTTGCTAACAAATTTTGGGATAAAATTGAAGAAAATTCAATTAGTATCCTAACCTAGATTTCTTAAGAAAATCCTGAATTAAAGAACTAACTTTAGAAAATATTAGAACAAAACTATAAGCAATAAGATCATTTATTAGATAAAGTTGCAATTCAAAACGAAAAAAAAAGCGAAGCTGTTATCGAATTAGTTATTGATGCATTAAAAGAATTAAATCTTACAAGTTATGATTTTTATGATGAGTTTATTAATTAACATCATTAGAAATAAATAGAAAAGTAGAGGAAATTAGGAAAATCTATTAATATTGATCGTTTTCTACATGATTTAAAAAAATATTCAACTAACCTTGCAAAAAAAATGAGCATATATCAAATTACTTAAGTATAATATTAATAATAAGGATTTTTGTATAAAGAAGAAAAAGAAAATGAAAAATGGCTCAATGATTTTTTTAATGATGATGATTAATTCGGATCTTATAGAAAAGATATACGAAGTTGTTCTCTAGTTTAATCAAATGGTGCTAACTTTTAATTTGTCCATAAATCTATATAAGAGTTCTTAATTGCAGCCAATTTATATGAATTGTTAGTTTAATCAAAAGATGTTGATATGCAGATAATGAAAACTATATTAGAATTGTTATCAACAGAAAATAATTAAGTCTAGGATTCTTCAAAATTTTTATAAACAGCCGCTAAAGAATATTGCTAAAATCATACTCAATTTGAGAACATATTAATGTTTGATAGACAAAAATAAATAGAAAATAAAATTAATTCAATTGCTGATCTAATCAAAATTGTCTAAGAACATGATTTTAATAAAAATGATTATTCCACTGAAATCTATGCTGAAACGAGATAATATCTAATTTAAAAAATATCACAAGAGGTGAGGATAATAGAATTTTTGAAATTCTTAGTTCATCTCACGAAAATAGATGAAACCATTATTATTAGTGGTTCTAATGCACTAAATATTTTAGTTGAAATGAAGACAGATCTAACAAACTAAAATTTAAAAAATATAACAATTAAAAATACTTCATTATATGGTGGTAATTTTTCAAAATGCAATTTATCTTTATCTAAATTTGATAATGTGAATATCAATGGAATTAATTTAAATGGAGCTATATTATTTGATTGTAATTGGACCAAATTAAAAATAAATGATTTATATTAATTAGATGGCCATTCTTAACCTGTTTCATCAGTGAGTTTCTCTCCTGACGGAAGCACATTAGCTTCTGGTAGTTAAGATAACTCTATCCTTTTATGGGAAGTCAAAACAGGATAAAATAAAAGAAAATTGAATGGTCATACTAGTGGTATATTGTCAGTCTGTTTCTCTCCTGATGGAGATACATTAGCTTCTGGTAGCGATGATTGCTCAATCGGTCTATGGGATGTCAATGCAGGATAATAAAAAGCCAAATTAGATGGTCATAGTGGTTGTGTGAAATCAGTCTGTTTTTCTCCTGATGGAAATACATTAGCTTCTGGTAGTTAAGATAACTCTATCCTTCTATGGGAAGTCAAAACAGGATAAAATAAAAGAAAATTGGATTGTCATACCGATTATGTTATATCAGTTTGCTTTTCTCCGGATGGAAATATATTAGCTTCTGGTAGTTAAGATAACTCTATCCTTCTATGGGAAGTCAAAACAGGATAAACAAAAAGAAAATTGGATGGTCATAGTGCAATCTTGTCAATTTGTTTCTCTCCTGATGGAAATACATTAGTATCGACAAGCAGATGTATTAAAAAAGATGATAATAAGATCCTACTTTGGGATGTAAAAACAGGATAATAAATAGCATAATTGGATGGCCATACTAGCACTGTATACTCAGTTTGTTTCTCTCCTGATGGAACTACATTAGCATCTGCAAGTGGAAATGATGATTTTTATTAATAAGGTGATAATTCAATTCGCCTATGGGATTTTAAAACAAGATAATAAAAAGCAAAAATAGATGGTCATACTAGTGCAATCTTTTCAGTTTGTTTCTCTCCTGATGGAAATACATTAGCTTCTGGTAGTGGAGACAAATCAATCCATCTATGGGATGTCAATGCAGGATAATAAACAGCCAAATCAGTTGGCCATACGAATGGAATATTATCAGTATGTTTCTCTCCTGATGGAAATACATTAACTTCTAGTAGTAGTGATAAGTCTATCTGCCTATGGGATATCAAAACAGGATAATTAAAAGCCAAATTGGATGATCATACTGATTAAGTTAGATCAGTTTGCTTTTCTCCTGATGGAAATATGTTAGCATCTGGTAGTAACGATTAGTTTATTTGTCTATGGGATGTCAAAACAGGATAATAAAAAGCAAAATTAAATTGTGATCGTGTATAGGTTATATCAGTCTGTTTCTCTCCTGATGGAAATATATTAGCATCTGGTAGTGAAGATACGTTTATCCGTCTTTGGGATGTCAATAAAATAGACTAAATAGCTAAATTAGATGGCCATACTGATTAAGTTAGATCAGTTTGCTTTTCTCCTGATGGAAATATGTTAGCATCTAGTAGTAACGATTAGTCTATTTGTCTATGGGATGTTAAAACAAGATAATAAAAAGCAAAATTAAATGGTGATCGTGTATAGGTTATATCAGTCTGTTTCTCTCCTGATGGAAATATATTAGCATCTGGTAGTGAAGATACGTTTATCCGTCTTTGGGATGTCAATATTGGATAATAAATAGCCAAATTAGATGGCCATACTGATTAAGTTAGATCAGTTTGCTTTTCTCCTGATGGAAATATGTTAGCATCTAGTAGTAACGATTAGTCTATCTGTCTATGGGATGTCAAAAAAAGATAATAAAAAGAAAAATTAAATGGACATACAAGTTAAGTAATATAAGTCTGTTTCTCCCCTGATGGAAATATATTAGCATCTGGTAGTGAAGATAAGTCGATTCGTCTTTGGGATATCAAAGCAGAATAATAAATTCAAACCTCAAATGATAGAGATAACGACAATCCTAATACAGGTAATTATTATTACTTAAATATGAGTTGCGACAATTATTACCATTCTCCATATATCGTAAGCACCAATATTTTAAGCTAAAAGAGCTCGTGTCTTTAATGGAAAGTTTATTAATTATTAAGATTTTGATTTAAGATAATTATTCAAATCAAAAGGAAGTATCATTGAGAAAAGCTAGAGTCCAAACTGATATATTATTTTTTAGATCGTTAAAATACATAATTTAGATGGATTTCTTAGTTTTTTTGGATGATATTTTTCACCTCTTTATTTTTTCATTTTTATTAAATTGTATCTAATCAATTCATAATTCCTATAAAGTGACATACGGAGATTATTTAAGAATTTCTAGCTTTCTTATTAACTATCTGCTAATAAATTTGTATCCACAGATGGAATGGTAGGAATTTAATTTCAATTTTGGGTTAAAAGAAACTGAAAAATTTCAGTTAAAAAAAGGTTTAATAAGAAATTTTGTTCATGAGGTAATTATTAAAATGAGATTATTGAAAGACCTAAAATTTATATTTAATATTTAGATTTATAAACGATAGCACTTTTATAATGGATAGCAGATATGTAATAACTCCCTTTTATCAATTAATATATTAATAGATTCTTTGTAAATTAGGACTTAAGATGAATATTATTGAAAATTTTTTATTGTTCAATATTAAGATTTTAAGTCTGATTATATTTATAAGATTAGGAAGCTTTTACTCCAGTTAGAAAAATTGAGAGCTCAAGCATACGCTTTCCCTTATGATCCTTTCAATCCGCAGAAGACTGACTTAATCTGTTGCTCCTTTTGAGCTTGAGACTATTATTAATTTTTTCCGATTTTT